CGCCCCGGCGGAGAGCTGCAGGGCCGAGTGGGCCGCCAGCCCTTGCAGCTGGCTGGCGGCCGGCACCGGGGTGCTCTGGGCCGCGGCGGCCGCCCCGGGGTTCAGCGGCGGCCGCAGGGGCTGGCGGTTCATCATGGCCACCTGGCTGCGGATCTGCTCGATGAGCTGCAGCTGGTGAATCTGCTGCTGCTGCAACGCCATCAGCTGCTCCAGGATCATGGGGATGGCCACCGCCGTCACCCCGCTGCCGGGCCCCACGCTGCCCGCGGCCCTCGCGTTCTGGGAGAACTGCGCCACGGCCACCTTCGTGCTCAGGAGGGTCTCCAGCGTCACGTTGGTGTTGGGCATGCTGTACGCGGCCACCGGCGCTGGCTCGGGGATCTGAGGTAGAGGCTGCTTCCCTGCGCGCGAGGGGCCCGGGTTCGGGAAGCCCTTGTCCCCAGAGGGCTCGGCTTCCATGGGCTCCTCCTCCTTCTCCGGGGCCCTCCCCTCACCGCCCTCGCCGTTCTCTGGGGGGGCCGGGTCCTCCGCGGCCTCGCTCTCCGTCCGGTCGCTGGGAGAGCTGGCCGGGGAAGGTTCCGGAAACTCCTCGGAGGGCGGTGCCGGCTCATCCTCATTCACGATCAGCACGAGCGGGTTCTTGGTGCAGCTCTTCTTGTGCTCCAGGAAGTCCGTCCACTTGAAGAACTCCGCACAGCACTTCTCGCAGACGTTGGTGTCCTCGCTCCCGCTTCTGCCCTCGCTCCCGCTGTCCCCGTCGTCGGCCCCGTCCCCGGGGACGGCTACAAAAACCAAGAGATCACGTCAGCCGGAGGCTCCCGAGACAGCCACCTCCATTGCAAAATTTCGCACATAAGTAAAATCGATATTTTTTATTTTGTACAAATTACCCCACTTCAACGTTCCTGACGTCCCAGAGTGTGTGTTCTAGGACTCTTTCTAGCTGGCTAATCATTTTCTCGGCACAATCCATCAAATTATGAGGCTCTATCAATTGTGGATACTGCTTCCTAATGAAATTCCATAGAAGCCATTGATTTCCAATATTTTCATACAACCTGCAGCCACCCTGTCTGTTGGGTCCAAAGCCAGCTTTCGATGGGCTCATTAGGATTCCCCCCTACCATCGGGCTTCCTCATTTCCAGCCAAATTAGAGATGCCCTTGCCAGTTCACTTAACATTGCTAAACTAATGTGTAACCTTTCAAACTCACGTCGGCACCTGACAGGGGAGCCCGCCGCCGTGACTCTGGCATGGCCGGGCCCGAGATTTATTGTCTTTACGCGGCACGGAGACGATACGCATTTAATGTGATTCTCTAGAACCTTTCGAATCAGCGGGCGTTTATTTATTTCGTGTATGAAACTTCATCTGAACACTTTCATCCGTAAACGTAACCGGGAGAACAGAAGCACCTCTGCTCAGAAAAATCGCCTCCCTGCCTCCTGGTTCGATCGACCGATCGATCCTGTTATCTTCCTAGCCTTTGTACCTTCCTTACACATAGGGCACCTTTCTGCATTTTAGGATTTGCCAAATGACTATCATCGATACAGTCTGGGCCTAAAATTAATCATGTTTAATACAATTAATTGGCTCCGTCAGATGCAATATTTCTTGGCGAAATGAACCAAAATTATACGTTGCCGTGATCAGCCGATAGAGTTCGGTGGTTTGTTAACAAACTAGAAATTATATATTTAAAGTTCATTCATGTTGACGTGTTTAACGTGAGAATGTTGTAGTCAGACACACTTTTTGTACCTATTTTCATCTAGTCTCATAGAAAGACTTCGCAAATTATATGCTTGTGCCATAGTGGAGAACCCTCTAATTGGCTACACATGTTTAATTACTGTTGTACTCAGCTACTTCCTGACTCCCCGGACCCTCTTGTGCCGAATAACAACCACGTTTAATGAACAATTCTAATTCACACCTGATCAAATAAATAGCTACACAGGAGCGAGGCATCGGCACGCAGGGACGCTGCTAGCTCCCGGTTTGGGGGCAGCCGGGACGAAAGGGAACCGCACGGCAATGACTCGGGCTCGAGGCGCTGGCCTACGCGTCACGGACTCAGAACTGCTCTTCGTCAACTTACAGATGGAGCGACAGCCACCCATCGGTTGGAACAGACACAAATGACAGTTGCCAATCAGCTCTTTGTAATCGTGCTGGGCGGAGGAGGAGAGCAAAACGTCCTCAAGTTTGTGTCCTGTGTCCCCGGAAACAAGTGGCCGTTGTCACGTCAACCAACGTGTCTGCTGAGACCTCTCCGTGTTTCTTCTTTTTGGGTTTTGGAAAAAAGAATAATCTGGCACTGGTTTTAGTAGAGAAATCTATTTTTTAAAGAAACATCCTGTCAAAAACATTTAGTCCCTCTCCTGGAAAAGAAAACAAAAATATTTTTTGAGGCCAGGCAGCTGGCCTCCACGAGGCCGTTATTTCCAGGTTAATTTATACACGCCTTTAAAAAAATTATTGGCGGGGTTCAATTAGCATTTTCTTTACTGGCTGAGCCATCTGAAAGGGGGAGAGGAGGCAGAGCCAGTAGTCCATAAAGACGTGCTACACTCTTAAACCAAATTCAGCGCCGAAGACCGGGCTGCAGGAAGGCTCATTACTGTATGCGGAAGCAGCGTAATAGGTGTCTGTAATGAGGTGGAGTATGGCTGGGAGCAAAGACACAGCTGACTGGTACTGCGGGTAGGCACATTAGCAAAATAAATACTCGCAGCATTTAACTTTGCTCAATGTATGCAAAATCTAATTTTAAGCACGCTAAGGTTATAGAACAGGACAAAAAAAGAAAAAAAGCCTAAGATCTTCGGGTAAACAGTCCCCGATACCTTGAGTAATCAAGCTGGAATCAACTGTCACGGTAGATCGTAACTATTCTAACGAAACGCAGAGAACATTTCTCCAAGTTCTTGTCAGCGTTTTAAAGCTAGGAGATTAAAAGGCTTGGCGTGATCTCCCAAAGGTTGTTATTTTAATACTTTAGAAAAATATCAAGAAATTAGATGTTGCGAATTTGTGGACATATTTCCTACCTTTAACTCCTCAGAGGAGATAAGACGTGTAACTCACAGGGCGGGTGTACAAAAGCATCCACATGGCATAAACACCCAATACTTCATACAATTAAACGCTGTACATCGTATTCAAAGAGGGCTTTTTCTTTAAGGGGATTACGTGTCGGGGGCAATTCACTGAGTAAGCGCTTAAAATTAGGCCGATGGAGGGTGTGCTCAGTGTTGGAAAAATTGACTCACTTAGCTGTAAACAAATGATACCTTACAAATGAACATTTCCCAGGTTTTCTGAGTAACAAACACGTGAAATACAGAAATACCGCTTTTGTTTTCACACCGCGCTTTTCTCAGAGCTTAAGTGACCCAAGCACATCTCTATCTACTTTAAAGATAACTTTTCAATGTTTCCATGGGTTTCTCACATGCTGGGACTTTGAGGGTTCGTGTCCAAATTCAGGGAACTTAGGAAGTGTTGTCCCGGGGAACTTCCTCCTCCCCGGGCAGGTCTGCAAAGGCCACAAGTGTCTCCCAGCTGCACGACCTGTGCACAGGGCATTCCAGCACTTTCTACCAAAGAATAGCCAGTGTGTTTAATGCAAGTATAAACGATAAACCCCTAAACATAGCGAAAATACTCCTGTCAAAGTAGAATGACCTTCCACGTATTCCTTTAAAATTGAGGAAGGAGAGCTACCCGGGGGGGGGGGGACCGCGTAAAAATGCCAATTCTGGCCATTTGGGCCTGCTAACAGTTCATTATGTTAATGAACCTGACAGGACAGACCACTGCTGGATCTTATGAGCAAAGTTTCATAATGAATTTGCCTTTTAACCGAAACATAATTTAAAAACTACAGTTAGCGAAGGAAAAAAAATTCAACATAACTGGGGTTTCTCGTGGGGCAAATAATTTAGAATCTCCACATATTTCTTTTTTTTAATTGGGGTTTGTACAAATACAGCGTGATCGGTCTTCGCCATCAAACTCTGAACGTGATTAGCACTCCCTCCAAGTCACAGGGGGCCACACGTTCCGCGAGAGTCTGGACTAGGGTGCATACGGATGAAAACTCTACTATTTCACTACGGATTTGCACTCTGGGCCCGCGCGCCTTAAGAATGTTGTTCAACAGCAGCAAGGAGCACTTCAAGGGACTTCGCTGGGGAGGAGCCTCCCCGGAGCCGAGCTTCTAGGCGCACTGCGACTCCCAGGTTAAGTGCAGAGTGAGGCCACCAACTTCTGATGCGCTCACAAGAGAGGGCGACACAAAGGAAGTTGTTATAACTTGCTTTGACAGCGCTTCTCATTCCGGTGATTAAGTGCGTACGTGCTGAGATGGCAGTGCTCTTTTTTTTAAAGGGAAAATCTGAATGCAGCTCCCAATTTATACAACTTCTAACGCCCTTTAACCCCGCCACTGTTTTAAGCCAATTCTATGTCGGATTCACACGCATGCAGCCGTGCTGGTGCTTTAATTTACGTTTGAAATTGGCCTTCGTATTTCACAAATAGAAGTTATGACATCCATCATTTAACACGGCTACCAATTTTTATTTCAAGGTAAAACTGTGTCAGCGAGCCGGTGTAACAATAGTACAAGGATACAAGAGTGTGTGATTTACTTCCAGAGCAATTAGAAATGCTTTCTTTCTTAAGAGAGGGGACTGAAAACCCAGCATTATAATCATCATCGCTATTGCCAAAGTAATTTATTTTTTGCATCCTGCCTGTTCAAGGATGGAGAGACTTCGGGCTGTAAACAGGCCGGGCTGAGGCAGGCATCTACAGGGCAGGGGCCAGACCACAGGGAGGGAAGACAGCCGCTAACCCCTTCGCCAGCAACCAAGGGCGTCCCCCCCCCCCATCCTGGGCAACAAGAGGGTTTGGTCGAGGCTGCTCCCGAAGGTGCCCAGAGCGTATGCTGGACCCGCGGCAGGCCCTGTGAGGAAGAGGCTGTTCCAGGAAAACTCTCCTTGGGCCTTGGTCAGACATGTACCGGCCGTGGCTTCAAGCTGGGCGCTGGAGCTTTAAGGCTGAACCGGTTCTCCTGAACGCGGTCGGGGGAGGGAAGGGAACAGGGGCTGAAAAATAAAGCTGCTTCAGTTTACGAGAGGAAATGCATAATTAGTTCACAGCTATCCCCACACTTGCTACTTATACCGAAGGATTTTGGGGCTTTTATCACTGTTCGAATGTTCTCGAGCAAGTTCTGCGTTGCTCGGGTCTACAGAAGGAAAATAGGTCCGCAGCCTTTTAAAGAAAGCCTCTAACAAAAGAACCCCTACCACACCAATCTTAAAAATAGGGGCGCCTGGGTGGCGCAGTCGGTTAAGCGGCCGACTTCAGCCAGGTCACGATCTCGCGGTCCGTGAGTTCGAGCCCCGCGTCGGGCTCTGGGCTGATGGCTCGGAGCCTGGAGCCTGTTTCCGATTCTGTGTCTCCCTCTCTCTCTGCCCCTCCCCCGTTCATGCTCTGTCTCTCTCTGTCCCAAAAATAAATAAAAAACGTTGAAAAAAAAATTAAAAAAATAAAACACACGGGGATTCTTTACGAGAAAGGTTTCCTTTCTTAGGCACAGATCCCTCGACGGGAAAGGAACCCCCCAAACCGTTTCATTATTCTCAGTTTTAATGCCTGCTGTTACATAACGCGTATCGTGTTTCCACTGCCTGAAAGTGTCTGACAGTCTTCTGAGGGCCGAGGTGGCAGACGACAGGCAGAGAACCCACACTCGCGACCATCTTCTCAGAGCCACAAGTGAGAAGCACTGTGGCGACAGATTTAAGAATATCTGAGCTTCCCTCGATTTCAAACGTGGTTCCCGGCAGGGCTCTTCGGTTTTCTCTTTGCAGGAGCACAGTACCTACTAAATAAGCTGCCCAATGCAAACACGTGGTAAACAGGGGTTTATAATTTTGGTTACCAACCCCAGATGCCCACGTTCGTCCTGCTACGCTTCTGCTACCCACTTTTAATTCTCTGCCATTAACAAAAGCATCGTTCAGTGCCGGGAAAGGGATGTTAACTTCTCCACTTTAACTGGGAACCATAAAATGCCACGTGGGCCTTCGGGAAAGGAAAAAGTACTTTCTCATTTGCCTTTACCACCCCTTAAAAATCTAGAAAGCATTTTTCAAGTTTTCCTGAATTGTTAGAAGACACTTCTTTTCTTGCAAATTAATTCTTTTTAACTCCTTATGATAGCTTTGAATCCCATAAAGAAAGATGAATTATCACACACTGAGCCCAAGCTGCGAAACAGGAGGGGACAAATAGAGACCCCTACTGTGTTTAACAATGTAGAAGAAATTCCAGACGCAATAGAAAAATTTTGTCCTTTTCCCCGGACCTCCGAGCTTGTGCACATGGAGCTGAACAGTGGGGGGCGCTCTGGTTATGCTGAACGCCAGCACTGACCCGCGCGCGGGCTTCTGTCGCCTCAGTGGCCCACATCTCAAATTTGTTAAGTAAGGACCACCTGTGGCACAGTCACCAAACGTCCTCTGCTTCAAACCTCTGCAGTTTCTCATGGGGGGGGGGGGGGACACGGTTCCCCTTATGGAGTCGCGCAGGTGGAGTGCAGCCACACACGTGGCCCGACCTCGGCTTGGACTCCTCGCGCAACACGAAGGTGTCTGCTACGCTGTGGGGGTCGCACAGCGGCCGCTGCCTCCCGACGGTCCGGCCCGTGCCCACACGGCAACGACTCCCTACGTACGGCACCCAGGCGACCCAGGTCACCCAAAGCCTGGTGAGGGGGGGCAGACAAGGTTCGTGTGGGGTCACTTCTGGGGAAGACGAGCACGGTGCAGAGCCACGCGTGACCGGCACGCCTCCTCGGGAGTAGCCCACACACGCAGGAGCCAGAAGTGAGCGAGACCCCGTAGATGCAGACACACCTGGGTCTCAGCAGCCCTGGAGAAGCATCAGTGCACTGTGTCCGGGAGCAGGGCTCTGACGCGCTGGGTGCAGCCGCTCTGCACCCGGGGTTGGGTTATTAAATCATTTCCGTGATCTGTCGGCACCTTACGGCTTTCCACATATGCCAAAGGCCATCTGGGAAAAGCCAGCGCCCTGGGTCGTTGAGGCCGGCGGCTCTGCACGTACAGAGCCACACGACGGAATTAGCAAACGGCGCCGCCTCGCGAGAGGGGGCCCAGGGAGGCCCACGGATTCAGACGAAGTGCCACGGCACCTGCAGGGTTAATTACACAGTTCAAGACGGAATGGCCGAACAAAAGGAAACCGTCCTCTCTTCTTTAAGAACTATAAACACTTGTGCCGGAGGAGATGGGCATTCGATAAGCCGGGCAGCACGGAGCAGGCTCGCGGGTCTCCAGTTAACTCTCAGACTCAGTGTTAACACTTAATAGAACAGTGTTGAGTCCGGCTGCCAAGGTCAACAGCACAGATGCACTAATTGTATTATGAGCTTGACATCTAGTGGCCACCCCTGGCAGGGCAAAGCAGGCAAAGGTTAAATCAGCAAGGCCTGTCACGGCGCCTCTAACTACCCACCTTCGGGGAGAGCCAGGGCCCCACACTCCGCAGCCCTGCCTTCCCGGGGCCCGGCTGCTGGAGCGGGAAGCGGGCCGCAGAGGCAGCCTGAGCAGACCAGGGACGACTGGAAAAGACAGGCCCACGGAGGACAAGATTCAGACACCACAGTGGTGCCATCAGGTCTCCGGTGGACACTTCCGCCGAGGCGAGGAGGTCCCCTTTAATTAACCAACAGATCAATCTTAATCTCTAACATAAATAGAGCCCATTACGGCATTTCATTATTTCGGTTAATATTTTACACTTTCTGTAACATGACTAGGGCTATTTGTCTGCTTGGAAACCACACTGACAGTCAACTGCATTTTAAGTCCTAGAACTGTTAAATGACAAGAGAAAAATCTAAGAGCAGGACTTTTTTTTTTTTTTTTAATGTAAGAGTGTATCTAAAGCAGAATTAAAGCACTCAATTTTTACACAGATTTTACACATGTGA